GTGAATTGGAGCTATAGAAATACACTGAATAGATTGAAACTGAATTGCTCAATACTTTGGAGGGAAGTCTTGTTGGGAAGGTCTCAAACAACCAAACCCTCATCTCATCTAGAGATTTTCTTCTCTCTGTAGATCTTTGCTGCTCCATGTCGGTAAACAGACAAACCTTTGGATTCTGATGGAGCCCCTCAAGCTGAAGATGCAGGTCGTTGTCGTCGCTCTCTGTGTCCCATCTACTAACCAAAACCAGGTCGTCTTCGTTGGTTTCTGTCCAGGATTCCCAGACCGATGGAGAGACATCTCGCCTCCTGTTTTTCTGGCTCCTCCTCCCTTCGGTTTCGGAAAGCTGCTTCCAATGGCTTTGATGTCATTTTTATCTTTTACTTTAAATAACTGAAAGTTGTAACAGACCACGACGAAAACTTGATATTCTTCTAAAACCAGAACCACGTCATCCATGTCACCCACGGCGCTCAAATTATTCTATTTTAGTGTATTTCAAAGAGAGATTTCAGGGATCTATAGAGATTGTATTTCATAATAAAAGTAATTGTATGTAAAATGTAATGTAATGCTTTTGGTTTCATTCTGCACTTGTTCGCTCTGTCCAGCAGATGGCGCCAACAGTGTCTCCTTTTTCAAGCGATTTTTCTATTGTCATTACACTGTCACAAATATGATGGTGAGGATTCTCAGTCCTCCAGGTCAGAGTCAGTCCAAAAAAGTTAAAATCAATCCACTGGACTTTGCTTCCAAGTTTGAAGACGTTTCTCTTCCCATCCAGGAAGAGAAATAGCGCTGAGTTCGAGGCTTTATACGTAGAGTGGACCAAAAACAAAGCCTTGCAAATTGATCCGGAAGAGCGGCTCCGCCCCTTTGGAATGGTGGTCGTTTGAAATCAAACTTTGAACGTTTCTCAATTCGAGTACTTGTGCGTTCTCATGTCCTGGAAAAACGTCATCAGCCTCTGCCCTGCTACTGTTCCGATTCACAAGAGCGGCAGACCAAGAACGGACAAGGTCCCCAGATGTTGTCCTGGCCCCTCCCTATTTACCCAGCATGCATCAGAGCAGACCTGTCCGTTCTTGAGACTGACAGCTGTCCCAGCATGCACTGCGGCAGCAGCTTCCAGGTTAGCGCTCACAGAGCTCAGAGGATTAAGTTAAAAGTTCTCTTTTCTGTCAATGCTGTTCTATAAAATAATTAAGGCGAGAACGTTTTAAGCGTCCCTACATGGCCCATTTACTAATTTAATGCAGAATAAAAAAAAAAAT